TGTATGCCATTAAAAATTAGCAAAAAAAGAATATAATTCATTTTATATGTACCTATTATGTGTATATATAATCATTTCAATCTCAAAATATAGTTATGTTAAAAATACTAATAATTTTAATTTTAATAATTATATTTTAATCTTCACATCTTATGCATATAATAAAATTCTTATCGCATCGCATATAAAGGGGCAATAAACTAATGAAAAACTGAAATAAACTTACGGTTTCTTCAAAGAAAGCTTTTCGTTAATTTTTTATCCTCTAGTTATTAATTTTGTTTTATCGTTATAACATATTAGCAATTCAACCTTAATATCTTGTAATATTAGCGTTTCAGACCTAATAAATATACTGTGTTGCTAGTAAATATTTATATTATACAAATAAGTTATTGCCACGCATAATGATTTACATAAATGAAATGTTTTGAATTCATAATTAGAGAAGGTGGGGAAAGCATATTGTGCCAATATATCCTCTCTCTATACATATTTTAAAGTTAACTGAAGAAATATGTTTTATATAAATACTTAAATTAAGTCCATAAATTAAATTGATATTGAATGAAACAAGATATACGCGAAAATGCTATGGATTGTAAACATGTATGTATTCAGTCCTTTTTGTAGTCCCACTGCTGGTTATGGACCTCCTCTATCACGTATAGAAACACCCAGTTTCATTTACTTAATAAAAGTCGTAAAATGATAACAGCATAAGAGTTCCTTACATAACGAAAGTGATTACTAAAGAAGGGATTTTTTTAAATATCTTTCCTCTTTTAAATAGCAGATAAAAGTTAGTATGAAAGATCATGGTTTTAATGTTAAAAATAAATGGAAATTGATGATTAAACGCCTGTTAAAGTTTGTTGGGAGTTCCCATCGAGCTTATAGCTTGTAAAAATAAAAATTATATGATTATTACAAATACCTAAATATTTTAAATAGATAGATGGTACATTTCATTATTGACATAATATAATGGATTCCTTTTTAATTCTGTTAGCATAAAAGTATACACTATTAAATCTACTGTATAGCTAAGATATTTTTATATTTAAAACTCTATGCTTGGTGATATATTCATTTTGTAGGGAATTTATTGATACTATAAAACTTTGTAACTAAGCGAAGAGAGTAGTGCTTGGTTTGGATGGAGTTTTAGCATATTTGATTTAATTGCACCAACGTTATTCGTTTTAGGGTTTTATATCCGAAGGGTGCCAACGGAAACCTATTACTAAGCCTCAAATGTCCGTCCGTCCGTCTGTCAGAGGGCTGTACCTCATGAACCGTAATAGGAGAGATGAAATTTTCACAGAATATGTATTTCTATTGCCGATATAACAACAAATAATAAAAATAAATTAAAAAATATAAATACAAAAACATTTTTTTAAGATTCGTAATCGATCATCGAAGTTAATAGGTATACTACATACATAGAGTAAGTCATATTATTTATTTTACACGTTAATTATTATTATTTCATGACACATCGGGAACATTTTTTTTAATTTATAATTAATGTTACTGCATGTTTAATTATATAATATTATGTTTTGAAATACTTAATTAATTAGTACTTTCTCTAACGAAGCAGCTAGCAAAAGTTTAAAAGGTAGAAGTAAACACTATCTATTTTTGGAAATACTATTAAATAAATTATGTGTCGGATATGTAATTCAGTGGAAGGGTTAATGTATTTCGTGTAAAGAAATGATTTAAAGTTATAGTAATATTCTATTACAGGCTCGAAAATTGTAAAGTGTTTGTGAAACTTTGTAAATGACTTAATATGATAACCAATAAATGTTATTTTTTCCATTTGAGTATATGTATACTAGCGACTGACCCTCGCTCCTCTCGAGTTTGTCCCTAGATCCGTTTAAACTTTAAACGGTTAGTGTAGATTTCTCAGAGACGACATATTTTCCCGCAGTAAAAAGTATTCTATATGTTAACCTGGACAACCAGCTATTACCATACCAAATTTCATCAAAATCTGTCCAGTGGTTTCTTTCAGACAGACAAAAACTCTAAAAACTATAGATACAGCCTCTTATATTTTCCAAAAAGTATTTAATGTACAGATTCGAATCAGTTTAAAATTTTATTATATGTATAGATTAATGCAAAATAGTGTGCATTTCTAAAGTCATTTAAGATTTCAGTAGGTACTTTATTAAGGTTTATTACTAAGTCGCCATTATTTTCGATTATATTAAAATATTTACAACTGCACTTAAATGTAGTGGAGTTGAGTTCTGCGATTATACGTTGTAAATCTATGATTTATAAAGATTAGGTCTATTACCTAAAGGGGGAAACATTTTAAGCGGTTATTTGCATCAAATAGATATCTAGAACTATCATTAAAGCCTCAAGGTGTACAATTACTTGTTTTCATGAGTAATGAGTAGGATAGTATCATTAAATACTGTTTGTAGCCGTTACTGTTATTTTACTAAATGCCTCTATGTTGTTCCATACAAATATTTATTTTCAGCTTGCCATATCTTCAGTATAAAATTGTAATCGATAACTTTGAAAAGCTAAAATCTAAGAAGAAATTCATATTAAAACTTTTATCATTTATGAATTAAATTTGTTATTCAGAATTTACATGTAAATAATTAAGTAACTCTCCCTAAATAACGTTTTTCGAATAGTTTTACTTAACAAGACAAAATTAATTTTGCGAGCTATAATGCATTGCTTGGTGACTAAATCTTAGAAGTAACCGTTCGACACGAATACTTCTGCCGCTACCACTTGAGTTATTACCTATAGACATGACAGGACTGTGACCTCTGCCCTTATTTGCATAATAACTAAACAAAACGAAAATACCACGTAGTTATAGATTATTGTGTTATTTTTGTCGAAATTAAAGTGCTGGAAATAATAAGGAAATAGTTAACACTTAATCTACCTCTTACCAAACTGCCATTTTAAAAACATTTTTACCGCCGTATAAGTAAAATATTTAATTTGATTTTATTATACGCTTACGCTTAAGCATTTTATGAGAATCCATGCAAATAAATACCTACCAACCTATTTGTGCAAAAAAATAAAACGCGACAAATATACAATAATAGAAGTATTTTAAAGGATTATTGCTAATAGAAATATAGTACCTAACTTTTTGATTGGAACAAAACTTTAGGAAGTGAAAATATGACTGACTACGACTCACCCTCGCTTCGCTTCGGGTTCGTCCCTTGACCAAAACAATTTTAGCCTACGGGAACCGTACATTTTCCAGGATAAAAGTAACCTATATGCTCTTTCAGACTATAATCTATCTCTGTGCCAAAGTTCATCCAGATCCGTTCAGCCGTTCTGGCGTGAAAGAGTTACAAACATCCATCCATATTCACTGGTATAAAATTGTTAGTACATTAATCATACGAAAAGCCTGACTGATTGTTTTATTACAATTTTCTGCTTCATGAGTTAATTTATTCAGAAATTTTACAACGCATTCTACTACAATTTGTATTATGCCAATTAAAATCTAATTATAATAGCCTTGAAGAACTAGAGAAAAATAAAGTCGTTTTTTCGTGAAGAACGAAACATCTGCGATTGTCTTTATCGCAGGACATGTACCATGTAACTTTTAAAACATCTAGCAAGTTGTACATGTGACAACTCAATTTAAAATATGTAATTTGACGTGACGTTATATTCTATTTAGGTCATAGAGAATTTGCTTATTTTTGATTATCGCTCGTTGATATACAAGGATAAGCAATTATTTAAATGCGCTTAAAATTCGTTATTTGTATTTAAAAAAAAATTATCTTGAAATTTTATTTGTTCTCGTATGAATATCATTACGTAATATAAAATAAAGTTCCCAAGTAAGTATGGTATTTTATACGCTTTTCACCAATAGATGGAGTAATTAATTCATGAGGAAGGTTTGTGTAAATTGGCTGAAATATGACGATGATTGTTGAAGATGTCAGAAAAAATCATGCCGACTGGGAGTTTTATTGGCATGCGCCGCGTAAACTAATAATTATATGAAAAAAAAACGTATTACAGAATTATTCCTCTTAAAAAGATCTTCCTATTAAACTATAGCAACGCTTTGTGCACCTACATGGGACGCACCCGAGCGAAGTGAGGGTAAGTCACTAGTATTCTTATAAAACTATGCCGTGACATCACTATTTAAAATGGAAATAAGTATTTGTCTGAGCTGTTGCCTATAATCCGTATATTAAAGTTTCTATTTTAACATTGTTTCACTGTTTTATGTAAAATTGATTACTCGGTCCTATTATTTATATAAAATAGTTATTTTAGTTATTAATTACTTCGCGTGACTTCATATCGTACCTCAAGATATCTATCTAATTTATAATATTTGTTTTAAAGTTACCAGAAAACAAATATCGGTATGAGGAATGAAAAGAAAAAACTCAATGGCAGGCCAGATTCAATTTAAAACAGATTAAAATCAAATAACCCAATTGACGCTTAATACCAGAAGTTAAGGATCCGTCAAATCACATGTCATAGTGACGACGCGCTTTCCCCATCATTAGATGCTAGGAAGAAAAAAAAACTTTGGGTGCTCACTTATAAGCGCCCGCCAACAAAGCCATTATGCCTTATTATGGACATCATCCATCAGACCGCCATACTGATTCTACCATTAATACATGCTAATGTTTTATAAACAGATATATAATTTATTTTGTTTCTACTTTGACTCCTAATAATTGATGAATAGTTTCTTGTTAGACTCAAAGCTGGCTACAACAGAGGCGTGGTAAAGCTGATTCGAAGAGGAAGTAAGGCCATTTATGATTTATCACACCTTAAATAAAAAAGTGTGAATCTCGCTTTTTACATAATTCATTCTTGAAGTCAATAAACCATCAATTCAATGCCTACTCTGTCATTTGTAATCAAAAAGTAAATGTTTGCTTTTTAAAATGGATTTATCACTAAAACAAATAAAAGAAACTTACTTTGACCTAGGTGGACTCGTTTCATCCACGGATAAATTTGTGGAGGATTTGCTTGTGCGTTGGCTGCAGCTTTCGTGTTCTTAGTATTACTCGAACTAGAGTTATTTGCGTCGTTGCTTTCATTGCTAGATGTACTTGATGCTGGGCTTGAAATATTTTGATTTATATTCGCTTTATGTTCTACTGGAGAAGCGATAGGAGTAGTCAACCCAAGTTTTGTACTTGTTGTTCCAGAATTTTGACCAACCCCAAAGCCAGGAGAGGTTCTTCCCGGTCCTGAAGATGTAGAAAGGTCTTGTGGTGATGCTACTCCGGTAGTAGAGGTTGAATCGGCAAATTTACAGCTACCGCTTGTCGCTTGGCTAGGCGGTGTAGACATAAGATTCGGTGACAAAGCACCGGGACTGGAATTTGAATGTGTGTGCATGTGACTAGCCGTACTTCCCAGTCTTTGGGGATGTAACTGAGTGTAATCTATCATAGCTTGAGGCTGCATATGTGCGCCTGCTGCTGGCGTTGCGTACGGATGCTGTGGATAGTGATGGCCAACTTGCGGCGGTGAATAACACGCATTTGGGTACGATGCAGCTGGGTTTGGATTGTAATAATCTGCACCAGGTGTTGGAAGACCTGGATGGCCGGCTTGTTCTACTGGTGTCCCTGTACGCCCTGGGCCTTGGTTCCCATAGCACGATGCAAGGGAATTCACAAATTGGTAGGAACTCATTCCCGCGTTGTAATTTAGGTCGTTCATTGGTAACCGATTGCTTTTTTCCTCTTTTCTGAAATTTACTCGCAGATTGTCATCCTTAGATGGACACTGAATAGTCTAGTTGGACATGTTAAGTGCTACAGATGCTCGCGGTCTGTCTCAATTGTCCTCGTAGAGTGGGGCTTGATTGATGGACCTGTGATAGAATGAAACACATTAGTTGGTCAAGTACGACGCCTTGTTTACTAGTGATGAATACGTTTTATGTGTGCGATACACATAAAATAATATTTAAGTATTTAATATTTTTCAGTTTAAAAAATTAAGAGTTATAAAAACAAAATATTGTTTATTCATTTATGTCATTTTTTTCTGTTAATAAACAGAAAAAAATTACATAAATGAATAATTTTCACACTTAAACGCTTTAATTTTTGCACAATCAGTAAGAATACCATTAAACTTTCCATAGCACAGGGGGTCTATTATTAAACAATAAAATTATATAAGAAGTTTCAAAGTGTAGAGCACATGTCAAGTGACATGAGGAAAAAATGTCGGTTCCGCCACGTGGTAGAGCTATAAAAGTGTCCACAGAGGTTTATGGGTGTAAGCGGTAGGCCGAATGTGACTTCTGCCGATTTATGAACTCCGCTCGGTGCATACATCTTTATGAGCAAATTAGCAGTCATTGTATATTCGATTTATTTGTCGCGTATGCGCATCGAATGACAAATGTGCGAATTTAGCCGAAATGCGTCGTAATTTTGTGCATTTGGCAGATTTTTCACGCTGCATCAAATGTATGAGTAGCATGTTTTGAATTTTTTCTTGGGTTTATAAGATTTATTATCTGCGATACATATTTGCGATGACATATTGTAATGAATAATTGTTTTATATTAATTTTATAGTGCTTATCTTTATATTATGTTCTTAATGTAGAAAAAAGTGTTAATTTATTTAAAATACCATAATATCTTCTACTTATATTTGTAACTTAAACAATTTCAAACCACTTTTAAATAGCAATTTGGTATGGCAATCAATTATAATGTAGAATATTGTAATAATTTTAATATGCTAGATAAGATATGTAAGACGTTTCCTATAATAATGTATTAACTATAATGCTTTATATAATTCTTGTTATTTTATTATTGCCTCTAATATATTAATAATTAAACAATTTTTATTGATTTTAAATAATATTGTTGTTCTTCCCATAAAAAAGCAAACAATAATTGATAGATATAGTTTATTATTCTGAATTCTTACAATCATAAATTATTTAAAACTTAATTAATAATCACATTTTTAATAGTCTAGTAGTAGAATTATTCATTCGTTTCTTAATGTAGTTAAACAAATATAAAACTTATTGTTTTGTTAATATGCCTGTATCTAAGAAAGTTTGAGTATGAAATTTCATGTTTATTACTTTAATTCGAAGAGAGTTAAATAAATTGCATGAGCTTTTATCATGAAAGTTTTATAATAAATAAAGCTTACAATTGCTATTATTTGAATCATACATATTTACTTGTCTACGTTAGTAGAACCATAACAGCATACTCGTATTATATATTATTATTTAAGTTTTGTGTGACATTCAGGAAAGAAGGTCAACTATTTTGTTATTTCCTCCGTACGCTTTTCATTTCCTGTTTTCTTTTATATTTTAAATTAATAAAACATAGATACTTCATATTTCAGACAAAATAATATTATCCATTAACTTACTTATTTTCACGACACAACTTTGGTTCTGTTTACCTTACCTACCGTCCTTTGATTTCCTTTGATTATTTTTACTATTTAAATATTAATTTTTGACCAAATATTTATTTTTAAATTTGAATGTAATATTTTCAATATAATTTTCTACTATCTAGTAATTCCTTATTCACATTTGACATTCAGACAACATGTGTTAATTTATTTCAGTTTAGATTTTTGTCACTCCCGTCCGGTCCACATTAAATGGGCCGAACGATTTCGAAGCTTTTGTTTTTTTAGTGGCTTAAACTCGACATCCTTTGATGAAGTGGTATTTAAATTATATTTTTTGTTAAAATAGCTCTACTACCAGTTTATATAAATAAGAATAAAATTAATGTGCTATGTATTAATAGATATTTATATTATTTATAATGTCTTATTAAAAAGATGATGTCATTTTATTAATATACCTACCTGCATCATCATTGTTGGTTACTAATAGTTATTGATTATTATTTATATAAATTTTATGACTAACATTTTGGTACTTATTTAGTTTATGGTTTTTATTATTTACGTCATTTAAAATAAAAAACAAAGTTGAGTATGATATATATATATATATATATATATATATATATAATTTTATTAAAAAAAATAGACAAGTGTATACCTACCTACAAACATTTTATATTATCCTTTTGTTTAAATCAATAAGTACCTATATGGAAAAAAATACTTAAAAGTTATTTTATGTTTGGCGTCGAATAAAACTTTAATCGGAAACTCGCTCTTCCTGTTAATATGAAAAGCTCTCTAATTAAAATAAGCTCACAAGCTGCCAAAGTCTTTTCAAATCCAGCCGTCCTAAAAGATTAAATTTGATACGCTTTGATTTTACGAGAACGATCTATTTTAATTACACTATAAATAAATATCAACAAAATTAAAAATTCGCTTCTAAATAAAAAAAATACTTACTCTAATAAATTTTAAAGCTAAACAAAACTAGAACACAAAAACCACAAACATCCCACAATAGTTCACTTCACTGAAACTCGTAATCAAATACGTATGAGTCTATCACGAAAGTTGTACGTGCGATCGCGGCGGAAAACCGTTGATGTTTTCCCGGCGTTCGGGCGTCGAGTGCAACGCGACGAGGTGTTCTGAGCGAGCCGGGCGGGGTGGGGCGGGCACCTGGCCATATGCCCGCTACCGCTTGTGAACTACCAATCTAGTAAGCGGACATAACAGCGATTGAAGGTTCTATTGGAATTGCTGTTTACTTTTAACAGACTAAATATGGAAGGTTAAGGTAAGCGCGATTTGTTAGTTTTATTTTGCTTTTTCAGCTGTTATGTAGTTGTTCTTTGTGCATATTAGGAAAATTCATAAAGTCTAGATAATATGTTTTAAATTATAAAACAAATATGTAAGCGCTATGTATTACTTTAATATTTTATGACAAAAACCGCATTAAAATATCGTACAAGTGCTTAATCTAAGTCGGAACAAACGGACACACTCCATGCATCAGTGACGGGAGCGACAGGACTGAGGCATAAAAATTGCCAACTGCTACTCATAATAAATGACATATACATATATACGACTATTTTTATGCACCCTAAGACAATGTGACGGATTACATAGCCGTAATTAAAGTGTGTTAGATTCAAAAGCTCTATAATTAGCTGTTTACCGCACTGAAACGTTATATTCTATTTTTATAGACGTTTTACGTTAAAAAATTTCCCTTTTCCTTTAATATTTTGCGCTTGTTAATTATATGACTCGATTTCTCTTGTACAAATTGGCCTAACTTTCAGATGATTTTGTTTAATTTTACCTTAGTATAAAGCGTAATGGCGAGATATTATTCATTTAGGTACTATTCAATTATTTTACACATTAAATATATAGGTACCTATATACATATATAAATCGATTTTAAGTTTGTTCTAGGTGGTACCCATATTTTATGTAAAGCTTGAGAATTATCATTATAGTTTAACTCTAACTTCTACAAATTCTTCTATAAGAATCATATTGATATCTTTATAATATTTTAAAGAACGAAGTTCTCTTAAAAATATCATTTATTAGTTTGCATAATTCATTGCCGTTAATTACCAGCAATCTTTATATCTACATAAAAATCCTCCACATAAGTTATTATTATTTAGACAGACATTATCAATATACCTAATTATTTTTCACAAATTGGTTTCAAATCTTTCGTTTGTTAATAACTTAACATATAGCACCTAATACTTCTTAGATTTAAACGAATATTTGAAGAAAACTTTCTTTCCCGTTTTTTTCGCGGATTCATTTTGGGTTCCCGACGTTTCGAATGCTTTACAGCAATTATGGTCACGGGAGAGACTGAGATATAGGACGTATTAGGTACATAATGATTGATCATTCTCATATGCCTAGATTAAAACGATTGTAATTAGCTGCCAATATTATTATATGAGTAGATTAGCTACTGATAGATTAGATTGAATTATTAACAGGTTGCTGTTAACCATAGCGCTTTATTTTAAATATCTTAAGTGGTTACATAGGTATTAAATATTATTTTTAATATTATTGGAATATTAATATAAGTTTATTCCTATTGTCTTTTGTATTATGTTAGTGATTCAGTATACCACTGCAAGGTACGGGCCTCCTCTCAATGCCAGGTTCATCAGGGTATAGCACAACACGCTGGCCAAATGGATGGTGGGCTTCAAATCCTTTTCAATAGCTAGTTAAGTTCTCCTAAACAATTTTCTTTCAATGATTTCCTTTACTGTATTAGTAAGTGACACACATGAACTTTTCAGATACTTGAACCTACATCACTTGGTTCTACGAACGAGCGCGTTGCTATTGAATAACATTGGTTTAGTTTTTATTATTTTACAATTTTGAATTGTATTAGTATCTTTTATGGTTTAATTTATTATTACATGTAATCTATACTAATATAATATTATAAAGAGGTAAAGTATGTGAGTTTGTGAGTTTGTGACGTTGTAGGGTTAATCTCTTGATCTACCTACTGAACCGATTTAGATGAAATTTGGTAAGAAGATAGTTTGAGACCCCGGAAAGGACATAGGATACTTTTTATCTTGGAAATCATCCCTTAAAGGGGTGAAAATAGGGATGAAAGTTTGTATGGGGAATCAAGCCAGGGACGAACACGAGCGAAGCGAGGGTGAGTCGCTAGTTTCTGATAAGTTTAAATACTTATGTAGAGACAACTTTAAAATTTAAATAATAAAGGGTTTTCGATTATATAAACGGTAAAAGCAAGGCTTAAAATATAATATGAACAAAAAATCCCTATAAGTATCCAATATCAGACAACTTATGTTGTCTCTTGTCCCTAGTCACCTCGTCCCGCGGGCATAAATAAATTTATTACAACTTAATAAACCACACGACAAAACATGCACATGTTCCTACACATTACTCAAACGGTGACTTTTAAAATTTACGGCTTAGGGTTATATATTTGTCCTTTTCTTACACCTTACAGTAGATAGAGATGACGCAATGTTGATTTTAAAACCGTTTATTGGTATTTAATTATGTTAGGTTATATGGTTTTTTCTAATAGGTTTTTATTGATGGCGCGAAAGATAGTTCGGAAAAGATCGTTCCGATAAGTATTGCTTATTAAATTAGATTTTATTATTATAGTCTTGTAGAATTTCCTTAAAAGGTAAAATGTAAGCATATTAAAATCCACTTGAAAACAGTATGTACCTAATTATTACAAGGCCATTTCTAACTTTTCGTATTATACTTATAATTAAGTACAAACCTTGATAGATACCTTAGATAGAAAAGGAGTTGCTAATAATCGTTTACTTAAATAAATTATATTTGTTATTAAAAATTTTAATAGGTTGGTACATTCTTAAAAAGTATACTAGGTAGTAAGTAGCTACTTAATGTATGTGGTGGAGGAGAAATAAAAACAATAAATAAAAACATAACAGTAAAATATTTACAATTTTTTTCCAGCTGAAAAATAACTTTAAACGTTGAAAAAATGTTCATATTAACAATATTAAAAAGAGCTAAAACACAAAAAATAATGGAATGAGAAGATATTTTTAATTAAGAAGTAGTTGTAGAGTTATTTTTTTAAGAAAAATAAATAAGTTCCATGCTAAGAAATTATATTTTTATACCACACGTCTCATTTCCTTTTCACCATATCACAAAGCATTCATGATTCACGTTGTAATACATAATTATTATTTCATTTAATTTGCGATGGAATAAAAATTTGCATGTGAAATATGTATCCTATCACTTTCACGCAGACACATTTCCAATAGGTATGAGCGGGACAAATAGTGCACTGTCATTGCGCTGCAACAGAAGCATGCGTATTGCAGCAGCGTGGGGCGCGGCCCTTTGCGTGAAATAACGACCTGTGATTGGTTGAAATTTGTTGGAAAAGTGGGGTGCGAACATATTCGAAGTTTACGACTTTTGCAACGGAAAACTTTGATTATTATTAAAAAAAATCCTTAGGTACCTACTGATTTTTAATGAAATATGTTCCAACAATATGAAAGTATAATTTAGTTAGTTATTATGTTTTTCTGATAGGTATTTACTCAATTATGGTTTAAAAAATTAATTAAAAGTTAAGCTTTGAAAGCTATAAGAGGTCTGTAAAATTTATGATGCTTTTATTAAATATATATGGACCAATTATTGAGCAAAGATAATAAATACCTACCTAATTATTTTTTAACAGCTAGCATCTACCTACCTATTGGAATTAAATTCTTATTTCTTATTAGGTACACTTTATTCAATAGGATTTATAATATCTCTATTTAGGAACAGTGTTAAAAATCAAAATAGATCTTTTTTCTTTTAAAACTGAAATACCTACTTAATCAGTTTTTTATTTGCATTATTTGAAATTTTGTAAAGTCAATTTATTATCATTCACTTCTTAAATTTCACTCATGAAAATTCAATTCAGTTGTCGAATGTACAATGTAGGTACCTACATATTCAAATGAGTACTTAGGCATTAGTGATATCATTTTAAAAGCATTTTTGGGCTTAGTACCTATATTTAGATTGTAGGTTGATTGTATCAATATTTAAATTTAAATATTTGTAAATAGGTATGCACGGCTTGACTTTTTTTGTTTTTACATATTATGAAACTAAGGCTAAATTGCAAAAAAATCTAACAAATAAGTTAAATTATCTGTCATTACATTAACGAAAGAAGTAGGTAATCCAAAACAATAGGTTACTTTTAACAAGTTTTAACACTTTTAGTAAGATATCATGGAGGTATCCATGATATCTTACTAAAAGTACCTAATACTTACACAATAAACTGCTTTCTATGCTGGATAATTTAACCCATATTATTTCTGATTTAATAAAAAAAAACAGTTGTAAAAAAATTATTTACTATTTTATTATTTCAAACTATGTTTTACTCAAAATTCGTATATTAATTAGGTTTGCTTGAACCGATTGTGGCGCCACACAGCGGCACACAATGTACCAGAAAGTAGAAGCGGTAAAACCTACTAACATTACGTGACTCCACAGATGGCGTTGTAGTTTTATATTTGCCAAATTTAACTTTATATATTATAGGTGTATTAATGGAATAGTTATCTTAATAGTTATGTTATTAAACTATTAATAGTTTTTAATACTAAAAATAATATTATGTATAAAATATTACTTAATGAGTTATTTGACTCTACTTTTTGGTTTGTTTCGCGCTGGACAGAAACTGGTGGCGGCAGATTATACGCTCCAGATGCAACCCTAATGCTGACCACAATCCTCAGACATGATGGAAGGATTCCAGAGAGAGAAATTGGGATTAAATCAAGTAATAATACTATAAGTTGAAGTCATTGTTTTCGCAAAAAATTATCTATAGGTTGATTTTTTTTAACTTTTTTTATTAATGACTAGGTACATAATGTTGTAGTAGATATTAAATGCCTCAGTTCGACTATATTTCAAGCGTAGTGTTTTGATAGACATGTCGCCTCAAAACTGTGCAGAAAGTAAAAGGCAAATGCCCTAACTCAAGAATGCTTTGGTATAATTATATTAATGGTAAACAGTTAATGATACCTAATGACATTTGTACCTAATAGAAAGCAAATTTTTACTTTTAAATTTAATTTCCTTATTT